AGCCACTCCTCGGAAGGAAGGTTGGGCAATCCTACTTCCGTAGTGATACTGCCTCGGAAACCCAAGGAGGGGTCACTATGAGTCGAGGCAAATAACAACAACATGGAGTAAAAGCAGGGCTTTGAACTGATTCATTCCAGTTCAACCTCCTGCTGAGAACTTGCATTTCCACCCCAGATATCCTGAATCAGAATCTACAGTTGAACAAGATCCCCGGATGATTCTTATGTATATATAAGAATCACTTGGGGAAGCCTAAGAATCACCAGGGCATCTTGTTCACCTGTAGATTCTGATTCTGTCTATCTGGGGTGGAAAGGTAAATTTTCAGCAGAGGATCAACCTGAAATGAAGTGGTTTGAAGCCCTGAGTAGAAGCAAAATTCACTTGGGCTACATCTGAACATGGTCCCTGCAGACTAGGGTAGGAGGCTTGGGAAGGCTACAATTCATCTAAGGCTGAAATATCTCATCAGAGCGTAAATCACCTGCTTTATAATCCTGTTGTAAGGCCTTTAACAGTGCTTCCACTTTGATTAGCAACATCTGTGACTTAGAACGCTGTCTTCCTAGCAGTTAGAAAAAATAGAATATATGGCTGTTCAGTCAGTCAACAAATAGTTATTGGGTACTTACTATACATCTAGGCCAGGAGCTCTGGTGGCATAGTGTCTAAGGCATTTGACTGCTAACCAAAAGGCTAGCGGTTCAAACCCACCAACCGCTCCTCGGAAGGAAGATTGGGCAATCTACTTCTATAGGGATACTGACTTGGAAACCCAAGGAGGGGTTGCTATGAGTTGGATCCGACTCGACAGCAATGAGTTTGGTTTGTTTTGTACATCTAGGCTAGCTGCTAGGCAAATCACTGTGAAGAAGAGAAGTCTTTCTGCCCTTATGAAGTTTGTAGAGATGAAAGACATTATTAGCACATTGTTATAAATATTAAGTGATTACAAGGGTATAACCTGGTTTGAAGAAAGAGTACAGACGATTATGGTAATACATGTTAAGTAAGGGATATGTAATAGGAGGAATCTAACCTCAATAAAGTAAAAGCTTATCTGAACGTTAGGAACTTAGGTCTTCCTGAATTATACACATGACTGTAATCAAAGAACTGGATAAGCACTTCATCATTTTAAAAAGTAATTATCCTGAATAAACATTAGGGCACACTTACCCACCAGTCAAGAAACAACCAAGCTTCAACTATCAGAAACAGGAGTCCCCGGGGGTACAAACAGTTAAGCACTTGACCTACTAAATGCAAGGGTGCCGATTCGAACCCATCCAGAGGTGTCTCAGAAAACACGCCTGGCCATCTGCTTCTCAAAGATCACAGCTCTGAAAACCCCACAAAGCCCTCCTACTCTGCGAATGAGGTCATAGTGAGTCAGAGTCCACTCAAGGACAACTAACAACGAGAGAAACAAATATCAGAAACATCTCCTGAGATTAATCCTTGCAAATTACAAAAGAGACTCCTATCTCTCACCTTCCTGATCAAAAGGAGCCCAAACTAGGAAAATGATCTGCCAGGCTCGGAGAAATTTGTCCTCAGAGATTCTACAGGTCACTTCTCCTTTGTTCCTCTTAGGCCATAAGTAATAAAGAGAAACAGAAAATATAGCGTGTTTTGGTTACCTAGTGCCATGACAGGAATAAACCACAAATGGAATAACCTTAACAAACAGCAGTTTATTGTCTCACAATTTTGGAGGCTGTAAGTCCGAGTTCAAAGTGCCAAGTTCTCGGGGCTGGCTGAAAGGCCCTCAATCTTGAGCTTCAGCTCTGCCTCCTGTTTCTGGGGCACTGAAGCTGGAGGCTTTTCTTCACTCAGATAGCTGCTGAGGCTGACAAGCCCAAGGTTGACAAGTAAAAAGGCACAGTTCCAATGTTACTAAACCACATGACAGGCCATTAATTCAAGTCCAGATGAAGTCTCAAGACCGGCAGGGCATGGCAGGCTGTTGAACAACAACTTGGCTACACCCAGGGCTCAAGCATACCAAAAGGCTAGAGACCATTCCTGAAACTGTTTCTTATATATGGGAAGCGGACCACATCCTTAAAGCAGCTACTCAGCTGCTCCAATAGGTTCCACCATGGAGTCAATTACCAGTCTCACCATGGGGAATAACTACATTCAACTGCCCAGCCACTCAACCAGGCCCAGCCAAGTTAACACACAAATTAAACTACCACAGTGTTTGGTAGAAAACCTTTCTCTCACTACTCCTACCTCCAACATTCATATTTTCACAATAATGAGCCATGCAAGATTCATGGCCCTCAATTTTTGCTTCACAGTCCTTATGAAAATTTGGATCCTGGGTATCTCAGTAACTTGAAGTTCACATAGTAGTGTATGTGACACTATTATTACTATAAGAGCTCTGGTGGTGTAATGGTTAAAAAATTCTGCTGCTAGCCAAAAGGTCAGCAGTTCAAATCCACCAGCCACTGAGCTGGTGGAAAAAGATGTGGCAGTCTGTTTCTGAAGAGATTTTTTGTTGTTATGTGCCATCGAGTAGGACCCGACTCACAGCAACCCCTCCTTGGGTTTCCAAGGCAATATCACTACGGAAGTAGATTGCCCAACCTTCCTTCCGAGGAACGGCTGGTGTGTTTGATTCACTAGCCTTCTGGTTAGCAGTCAAGTGCCTTAGGCACTACGCTACCAGAGCTCCTCTGAAGAGATTTACAGCCCAGCCTTGGAAATCCTATGGGGCGATTCTACTCTGTCCTATAGGGTCGCCGAGTTGGAATCAACTGGTTAGCAGTGGGTTTGGATTACTACTATAGACCTTGAAATGAGACTGAATTAGACTTGAATTCTAATCTTGCCATTTACTACTTGTGTGACTTTGGACAAGTCACTTAAACTCACTAACCCTGTTTCCTAATAATAATAATAATAAAGCTTAACTCACAGTGTTGCGAGAATTGAGTGGTGAATATGTAGGTATGTATGGGTGTATTTGTATACATATCTGGCACAGTACCTGACCCACTGCAATTAGTAGCTATCATCATCCTGATCACTAATACAAAGTGTGGTTATGATATGTGTGCCATTCCTCCAGAGGCTAAATAAGAGAACTTTGCTGTGATAGAGACACATAGACTTAGTGGCACTGAAGAATGATTTCATCACCTCTATAGAAAAAGGAAAAACTCTCATCTTACTAGGAGGATTAGTTTAATCCTACCTGAAGGAAAAGGCTGTTGATTATGACCTTTCAAGGTTTATTCCACTCTCATTATTCTATAAATGTGAATCCATGTTTACCTTTGCTTGGGTGAAAATTTTTAAGGTGACTTTAATTTTACTGGCCCACTCTGCCACCAAATCAGCCATACACAAAATAATTCACTTGGCCAGTTGACTTTTTTGCTGAAATATGGCTAAATCTTGTGAGGATTTTCTATTGCAAAGACGGTCTAAGCAGGTTTTATTTCCTTGGTAGGTTTCTTATTTTACTAAGAGCCTGACAAAGAAACTGAATGCCTCTTCTTTTTTTTTTTTTCTTTTTTAAATTCCAGGAAGTTATCAGAAATTTAGTCAAAAGATATGTAGCTGCTATGATAAGAAATTCCAAAACAAATGAGGGATTGACAGAAGAGAATTTTAAGGTAATTTAATCATTAAGTAGTTTAATGTCTCATTTCTCATTTGTTAAGCATTATTTAATCTTCATAGTTTGAGGTTTCTGGTGACAGAATTTCAACAGAAGTTAGCCCTGATGGTGCAGCGGTTAAGCACTCAACTGCAAACCAAAAGGTCAGTGGTTCGAATCCACAGCAGTTTGCTTCTGTAGATTGTTATGTGCCGACGAGTTGGACCCAACTCATAGTGACCCCTCCTTGGGTTTCCGAGGCAGTACCACTATGGAAAGTAAATTGCCCAACCTTCCTTCTGGGGAGTGGCTGGTGGGGTTGAACTGCCAGCCTTCTGGTTAGCAGTCAACTGCCTTGGGCACTGTGCTACCAGAGCTCCCCTTCTGTAGATTACAGTGCCTTAGAAACCTTATGGGGCAGTTTTACTTTATCCTTATAGGGTCACTATGAGTTAGAATCAATTCAAGGGCAACAGGTTTGGGTTTTGGCTTATACTACTACAAAACGAGCTATAATTCTTATTTTCTTAGGATTATCTGTCTCCCAGTAGATGGAGAGATTTTACCAATGTCTGTCACACCACAATCAGCTTTACGATTGTGCATTCTATCTCCTATGCATTCTTTCAGTATTCTGGATGTTTCTCAAGTGTTGGGAGTTGTGTGCTTTAAATGATGCAGCAAGGATGCCTGGGAAAGGGCAAGACAGCAAGGGAACGATGATGCCTGGAGACTTAAGGCCTTCTTCACTCAAAAGACAAAGACCAAAACAACTTACTATTAAATCTAAGGTCTTAAGAAAACCTACCATTAATATATTTTCTTCTCTAACCAGAAGGCTGGCGGTTCAAACCCACCAGCCACTCCTCGGAAGGAAGATGGGGCAATCTACTTCCATAGTGATACTGCCTCGGAAACCCAACGAGGGGTCGCTGTGAGTCGGGTCTGACTTGATGGCACATAACAACAACAACAGCAACAATTTATGGCATAAGTAGTCTGTCAAGCTTAACTCAAAATGCACAAACTGCAGAAGATAAATTAGATGAATGGGACC